GGTTAAAATTGAAGTAATTATGCATAACGAAAAGTCTAATTATCAAATTGCTTCTGATGCAGCGTCTGTATTCTCACAGTATGACAGTAAGTACATCCCTTGAAGATCACCTACCTACTTTTACGAAAATCGTCACTAATTTAAAAGGTTTGAAGGCTAAATATGATTAATAGGATTTGGGTTTGATTTTGTTGTATTCGTTGCCCATTTCATATGTGTTTTTTAGATACACAATCTTGTATAGTCGTGACACTCTCACCATTAAAGTTTTCTATGATGCTCTATATTTATAGGAGAAGATGAAGCATCTTGCCAGATTTGAAATTGATGGAGATGGCTTTGTTGTTGATGGTGGTTGTGTAATGGGCAAATTAAAGTCAAACTTCAAATTTTTTAATTATTGTAAGAAAAATGGGCACTTGATAAAGAATTGTTATAAGTTGAAGAATAAAAAAAATTGGCTACAAATCACCAATCAGAAACTTCAAGGGAAGGCAGAATTGCATAAAAGTGTCACAATGATGGAAAACTTTTACTTATTTTTGACTACGATTCCAAACCTAACGAGAATTGGATTCTTGCTACAACTTGCATTCTTATATGTGTCCCAATTGGGACTTATTTTCATCAAATGAAACAATTTCAAAAGGTATTGTGGTAATAGGAAATAATACACCTTGTAGGATAACTGGTATTGGTCAGGTTTGAATAAAGATATTTGATGCGACGGTTAGAATACTTGATGCAATGAGACACTTTCCAAATTTGAAAGGAAGTCTTATCTCCTTGAATACTCTTGATTCAAAAGTGTACAAGTACATTGTTAAAAGTGGAGTCCTCAATGTTATTAAAGGAACCCATGTTTTGTTGAAGGAATATAAAAAATCTCATTTATATGTCTTGCAGTGCTATACAAAATCTCTGATCAATAAGCATATTTTAAAACCTTAGGTGGATTTGGAATTGAATTTTGTACCATTGGAGTCTAGTTTGGGATCTTTTTTGAAGAATGTATCTCAGTTGAGTTCAAAAGTTATGGGTAATTTCGCTTTGCCACCATTATTGGCAGTGCCATTGCATTTAGTTCCTAGTAACATATCCACTTTTAATTTTTAGCCTCCACATAGGCACAACACTGTTGATTTAATTAATTATGGTTTGAATGTGGTTAAGGGTGTTGATTCTAACCAAAATCTTTTTTTATGCATTCAATTGTGGTGATTCTGCTTCAGGCTTGTTTCTGGCTATATGTAATATTCAACCCAGTGCTTGGAATTTTGTTAACTACTCAGTTATTGAGTTTTGTCCTAGTTGGGTGGCAGAGTTTTGGAGAATATTTTCAGTTTAAAATTTTGATGGAAAATTTTGTTTATATTTTTTATGCAGAGTTGAAGTTTATTCCTTACATTGGAATTTGTCTCTAGGTAGAGAATATTGCAGTGGAGTTTGTTAAAATTAAGGTGTAACCCAAATTCTATTTAGAAGATAAATGAAAATTCAAATTAAAGTCGACTTAAGAAGAATTCTATTTGGAATACTATTTTGAAATCATATTCGAAGTTTATTTGTCAAATTCTATTTGAAAGCCCAATTGAAAGTTTGGAATTTGTGTTAATTTAAAGAACAAGAAATTGTAAGAATCTTATGATTTCAATTTGGATAAAGATAGTTATCTCTTTACCACTTCATTGACAAATAGATGATGTGACAATTTTATAATGCTTGGATTAAATGTGCCAAATGTGAAAGATATTGTGACATTTTATATGATTTCAATTTGGATAAAGATATTTGTCTCTTTACCACTTCATTGACAAATAGATGATGTGACAATTTTATAATGATTGGATTAAATGTGCCAAATGTGAAAGATATTGTGACATTTTGTCAAGTGTAAATTTGATAAGAAATGATGTACAAATAGCAAGATCGTTTCAATTTATGGAAGGGAGATATTTGTGATGTGAATTGTTGTATTGGATTGTGAATGGTGTAAAAATAGTGTTTACATGTGTTAATTTTAGGAGTAAATGTATTTGAAAGTTAATTGTCCCAATAATCACTAAACATATGTTCGTATTTTCGATTGCTCACTAAAATGTCGAATTTTGGCCACTAGTCTTATTCAAACGTAGGACATAACTAACGGCATAACATGTGTTTCAAACCTGTAAACGTGGCTGGCATAATACACAGGTAACGTCCCGTCACACCGTTACTAAATTACCATGTGAAAAAGTTCTTTTATTACTCACTATACTTTGAAAAATGTGTTAGATTGCTCACTGAATTTTAATGTAGCCAAATTTTTGCTACTAAATTTATGAAAATGACATCAGCATGTTGTTCTCTAAAAAATATATATCATAAGCGCACGTATTGCATACAAGTAATAAAGTGGGCAAACAAGTACGAATTGTCGATCCCATAAGGAATGCTTATTATATCTGCAATCTTTTCATTATTTTTGTAGAATTTTAAGCTATTTTCTTCATTCACAAAATTCAAATTTATTGTATGTTTCGTTATTAAAATTAAATTTAACTATTGTGTAATTAAGTAATCATTCCTTGTGGGATCGATAATCCAGATTCGTTGTCCACTTTATTACTTATATGCAACACGTGCAATTACGGTGTACATTTTTTAGCGAACAATAGGCCAACATCAGTTTTATAAGTTTAGTAACCAAAATTTGACCATCTCAAAGTTTATCGAGAAAACCTTTTTCAAAGTTTAGTGGACAATGAAAGACGCTTTCTTACGTGACAATTTGGTAACGACACGATGGGGTGCCACCTTTGAATTCCGTCAACTATTCACCAATTCTGTTAAATGTTTGAAACGGATATTATGTCATGATAAAAAGTCCAAAATTTGAATGAGTTTAATGGTCAAAACTCGACATTTTAAATTTCAATGAACAATCGAAAATATGGACATAAGTTCAGTGATTGTTGAGACAATTAACTCAATATGTGAAGATCAATTTTACTTGTATACTACCGTACTAATAGAAATAAAAAATAAAAAATTCAATATTTTATATAAAGCTCATGTTTGGTACCTATTAAAATCTAGATTTTAATCTAAATCAAATTCAATAATTAATTTCAGCCACACATTTAGAACTTGTTTGATATTCACATATTGAGTTAATTGTCTCAACAATCACTGAACTTATGTCCATATTTTCGATTGTTCATTGAAATTTAAAATGTCGAGTTTTGACCATTAAACTATATGATTTCAATTTGGATAAAGATACTTATCTCTTTACCACTTCATTGACAAATAGATGATGTGACAATTTTATAATGCTTGGATTAAATGTGCCAAATGTGAAAGATATTGTGACATTTTGTCAAGTGTAAATTTGATAAGAAATGATGTACAAATAGCAAGATTGTTTCAATTTATGGAAGAGAAATGATATTTGAAAGTTAGTTGTCCCAATAATCACTAAACATATGTTCGTATTTCGATTGCTCACTAAAATGTCGAATTTTGGCCACTAAACTTATTCAAACGTAGGACATAACTAACGGCATAACGTGTGTTTCAAACCTGTAAACGTGGCTGGCATAATACACAGGTATTCACATCGTTACTAAATTACCATGTGAAAAAAGTTCTTTTATTACTCACTATACTTTGAAAAATATGTTAGATTGCTCACTGAATTTTAATGTAGCCGAATTTTTGCTACTAAATTTATGAAAATGACATCGGCATGTTGTTCTCTAAAAAATATGTATCATAAGCGCACGTATTGCATACAAGTAATAAAGTGGGCAAACAAGTACGAATTGTCGATCCCATAAGGAATGCTTATTATATCTGCAATCTTTTCGTCATTTTTGTAGAATTTTAAACTATTTTCTTCATTCACAAAATTCAAATTTATTTTATGTTTCGTTATTAAAATTAAATTTAACTATTGCGTAATTAAGTAATCATTCCTTGTGGGATCGATAATCCAGACTCGTTGTCTATTACTTATATGCAACACGTGCAATTAATGTACATTTTTTAGCGAACAATAGGCCAACATCAATTTTATAAGTTTAGTAACCAAAATTTGACCATCTCAAAGTTTATCGAGAAAACCTTTTTCAAAGTTTAGTGGACAATGAAAGACGCTTTCTTACGTGACAATTTCGTAATGACACGATGGGGTGCCACCTTTGAATTCAGTCAGCTATTCACCAATTCCGTTAAATGTTTGAAACGGATATTATGTCATGATAAAAAGTCCAAAATTTGAATGAGTTTAATGGTCAAAACTCGATATTTTAAATTTCAATGAACAATCGAAAATATGGACATAAGTTCAATGATTATTGAGATAATTAACTCAATATGTGAAGATCAATTTTACTTGTATACTACCGTACTAATAGAAATAAAAAATAAAAAATTCAATATTTTATATAAAGCTCATGTTTGGTACCTATTAAAATCTAGATTTTAATCTAAATTCAATTCAATAATTAATTTCAGCCACACATTTAGAACTTGTTTGATATTCCTTATTTTCAAAATATATTTTTCTCTCTTCTTTTTAATAACACATTCTTCAATAAAAAAATATTAGATGTAAATTTAAAATTTTTCCTTATTTTTGAACCACACATTCTTTATCAATTTACTATGAAAAATGCATTATTTGCTAAATAATGGGGCTAAGACAAGGGTTTAATGAGTTCCACAATTTTTGAACCACACATTTCATCAACTTCTATCAAAATTTAGTAAAAATTTGATTTTAATCCCTACCAAATAGTAGAAAAAAAGTGTATGGAGTAATTTCCTCTCTCTTATATATAGCCTCGGGCCCAAGATGAAGGGAGCCCAACTTCCTTAAAGCCCATTGGAAGACACAACAAGCCGGCCCCGATCCTATATCCTAAGCTGAAAACCCTAATCTTCAACTGCGTTTTGATTTCCGCGCAGCAAGATAGTCCTCAGATCTCAATTCTTTTCTCTGCAAATCAAAAATGGCTACTCAGATGAGCAAGAAGAGAAAGGTCCCATCTCCGATGCATTCTATATATTATATGTTTGTGCCCACTATCTAAGTTTTGTATGTTTGAATTTTTGAATGGTAAATTTGTTGAATTGAATTTGCAGTTTGTAGCTGATGGAGTGTTCTTTGCGGAGCTGAATGAAGTGTTGACACGTGAGCTTGCGGAGGATGGATATTCTGGAGTAGAGGTCAGGGTTACACCCATGAGAACTGAGATTATCATCCGTGCTACTCGCACTCAAAATGTTCTCGGTAATTATATCATCTCTCGTCTATTGATTTTATGTTTGTTATCTTGATATTTAAGGACACGAGGAAAATTTGTTTCTGTTAAATTTGCTTTAATCTGTGTTATCTCGTATTTTTCATATGATTTTGCATAATTTGAAATCGATTATCCATTTAGGGAATTGCCCCAAATACTAAATATTTTGACATGCTGACGGATTGTATATCTGTTCAGTTCTCTCTCTTTTTTTTTTTTTTCTGTATGTGGTAAATAGTTATGTTTCTCTTTCTCCTGTAGATATGATGTTTAAGAGTGTATCTTTTGATATTTGGTTTTAATGACATATTTGTACTGATTGATATTTCTATGGATAGGTGAGAAAGGGAGGAGGATCAGGGAGCTGACCTCTGTGGTACAAAAGAGGTTCAAGTTTCCAGAGAACAGTGTGGAGTTGTACGCGGAGAAGGTTAACAACAGGGGGCTGTGTGCTATTGCCCAGGCTGAGTCCCTCAGATACAAACTCCTCGGTGGCCTTGCTGTCAGGAGGTAATCTGCTGGATCTTGTTTCATTCAATTATTTCTTATTCGTTAAATTAATCTTGGTTTTGTATGTATTTCTATTATTTATGCAGCAACGCCAATTTCTTGGAAATATATGTTTTCTAGTTTCTAGGTATTTAACTTGTAAGATTAACTGATGCGTGTGATTGGATTTATAGAACCAGTGGGACTAGTTTATTTGTTAGCCATCAGTTTGAATGTGTTTGACAAATGCTATGGTATTTGTTATACATTCTCTATGTTTATATGAAACTGGCCATCTTTTGTTTGTGGAAAATTAACTCTCTTTAGAGTTGTTTGCTGCTGGGTATGAGATGCCACCATGGTTGTTATAATGTCCTTAACAAAGTCACAAGTATGTACTTTCATATGCATTTTGTATCGGACAAATCAATAACTAGAAAATTGTTTTACATCCTTGCCAGAATTCTCTCGGAATATTTCTTGTCAGATACTCAACTGTTTGTTGATTTTCAAAATGTGAATTTGTTATCCCAACATTAACCCGTTATCTATAAAGCAATAGGTTCAATTTCGTATTTGTGTTGGAAGACAACTAAAATAATCGAACATCTCCAAGATATGTACAGATGAGCTATGTGTTGACCCCATTAATATTCCTGGTGTTGCTAAATCCTGTAAAAAATTAATATTCAAAACACTTGTAAGACCTTTTACTTTCCTCTCTTATTGCCTAATCTGATACACATGAAAACACTTCCGCTGTTCTCTGGGATTTACCATAGGTCACAATATCCCATTTTGCAAATTATTAATGGTTTTCCAAACTGTGATATACTGGTAATTTGGAATGCTATATTTGGAAGCTTGAATGACTTGTATCTATGTAGCTTTATGGGCCTCAACTTTGCATGAATGGAAAAATGAATTGAAGAATGGAAATCATAATAGATTTATTTTTTTACCCTGCTTCTTGCATGACCGTGGGTAGTACTCTATGATTCAGACATTTTGAATCACACAGTTAGTTCCAAGCCTCAAATGTTGGTGGAATATTTTTTTTTGTTGATTTAATCCTTCAAATGCTTCTTTTCCTTTTTTATATTCTGTCATTTTAGAGTGATAATATTAATGAATAATGTATTTCTTCTGGTCTTCCATAGGGCATGCTACGGTGTTTTGAGATTCGTTATGGACAATGGAGCCAAGGGTTGCGAGGTATGCTTGTGATCGAATTTTGTGACCATAATTTTGATGGCTTCTTACATGTTTCATTTCAACATTAATTCAGTTGGTATGGGTTACAGGTTATTGTCAGCGGGAAGTTGAGAGCTCAGCGTGCTAAATCCATGAAGTTCAAAGATGGCTACATGATTTCTTCTGGTCAACCAGTGAAGGAATACATTGACTATGCTGTTAGACATGTTCTCCTTAGACAGGTTTATTTCGCTTTTATATCGCGTTTTCTACAGAGCATTTCATCAATGTTGGCATTCTGCATTTGTTCTCTTAAATCAACTCTTTGAGTTATGTGCATTTTTGCTCAGGGAGTGCTTGGAATCAAGGTGAAGATCATGCTCGACTGGGATCCCAAAGGAAAGCAAGGTCCAACAACTCCTCTTCCAGATCTGGTCACAATTCATCCTCCAAAGGAAGAAGAGTACATCAGGCCAGCTGTGCTGCCAACTGAAGTTGAGATTGAAGTATAGAGCAGAGCATCTATACCTATATCAGGCTCTACTTTAAACATCTTGAAATGCTGTTTACTTTGATAGATGAGTGATATAAGACGCGTTTGACCAATTTCGGATTTATATCAGCAAGTTTTGTTGTGCTTTTTGTAGAATGGTGTTTCTGCTAGTGAAAATTCATTATACCTAATACATTACATTTCAGTGTACAAGTTTGATCAATTTTATCAAAGTGCTTTGCTGTTCTTCGCATGTGGTTTCTAGTTGCATATATTCCGTGCATATGCTTTACATATAGGAAAATGCTAAACGAACATAGCCCTTGACATAGGCCTTGACATAATTTTGTTATTTTGTGTTGCAATTGTCTATTTTACCCATATCTCTATATTCTAATTGTTTTCCGCATTTTGGCCCAACAATTGGTATCAGAGCCTAGTAATGAAATTAAAGAAAATTTTTAAAATGAATAGAAAAGATTAAATGATTTTAGAAGAATTACAATATATTAGATCACTTTTAAGTAATATGGATTATGTTTACTTTTGGTGTACAAGTTTGATCAATTTTATTAAAGTGCTTTGCTGTTCTTCGCATGTGGTTTCTAGTTGCAATTTTGGTGAGAGAAAAATTCACCAAACCACCTAAATTAACGTACGAAAAATAATCACTCAAGGTTTGGCAATTTATAACGAGCAAATGACGACAATTGACGTTCATCTTGGCTGCCCAAGTTGAAATTCTGCCACAATTTGCATCCAAAATTTCCACACAATAAACCAAAATTTAGTATTATTTTCTTACCAAACAATTGACAACTTTGGCAAGTAATTGTCGACTTTCCCAACAATCTCTATCTTGATAAAAACGAGTCAAAAATTTTATCATCTCTTTTGGAATTCTTGATCACTATACTCGAAAAAAATTGGTAAGCCTTTGACGAAATTTGAGTCTCAAAGAATTTCATTGGCTCATGTCGAAACAAATTAAAGTGCTGAAAAATTATGGTGCAACTCTCATGTTTGGCTTCTCGGGAGCTCATCATCCATCAACATAAATTTCACCATATACCATGCATCATGCCAAACCAATACCATTGTGTAAATTCATGGACTGATAGTGATAGCGCATGCAATGAGAATGTATATAATTTAATAAGGGTATATTTGATTGGCATAGAAAATATTTCTTAAAAAAAAAATGTTTTCCCTGTTTTGAGGTTTTTTTCATGAAAAATATTTTTCAACTTTGAAAATATGCCTAATTTTTCTTGTTTTTAAGAAAACATTTTCTTTGGGGGATGAATGTTTTTGTTTTCCTCAAAACAAGGAAAACATTTTCTTTTTTAAGAAACATTTTCCGTGCCATTCAAATAATCCTAAATGAAATTATCATCTCTCGGAAGTAGAGACAAATTGTCTATCTAAGCAATTAGTTGAGTTTGCTCCACCTTTTGAATAGTTTTACTTGATGTGACCAACATGGGTGGATATGGGGGAGGCTGCACTGGGCTTCAGCCTAGTACAGCCATGGCCCATATCCTATTTTGTTTTGTAACTTTTCCATTTAAAAAGTTAGCGAAAAATTCATAAATAAGGTGTTTAGTTTACACCAATTCAAAAATCATGTTTATAGTTTGAAAATTTAAAAATCAGGTTTTTTTAAAAANCTAATATAATATAATATAATAAATCAATCCCACATGCACCACCCCTACCACTTCGGGGACTATTTCGGTGACCACTCTTCTCTGGCGATTGCTCCGATTCAGACGATCATTCCGACGACTATTCCGGCAATCATTCCGGTCACAGACGGTCATAGTTCAAAAATTTTATAGGTCACATTTAATTCGTTGGTCACAAATTTCAAAATTAGTTGGTCACAGATCAAAATTTATAAGTCACACAGTCACAGATTTTCAAATTAATTGGTCACACATTTTTTACGGTTACAAATTATATAATTTTTAGGTCACATATAAAAAAATGGTTAGTTTCATTGGTCACATATTTTCAAATTTGTTGGTCACAGATTATTTTTCAGTCACATATTGTCGAATTTTTAGGTCACAGTTAAATACTTGGTTATAGATAACCAAATATTTGGTCACATACCACTAAAATAAAATGTGACCTATGAAACCGAATAGTTGGTCACGTACACCAAAAACCCAACCCCCGGTCCCGATCTACCAATAGTTGGTCACATACACCAACCGACGCGACCGCCAGAAATCATCACAGCCACCAGGACCACCAGGACCTCACCAAAAATAGTTGGTCACATACACCAACCGACACGATCGTCAGAAATCATCACAGCCACCAAGACCACCAGGAGCTCACCAAAATCGTAGTCACATCCTCCATAGCCACCAGCACATCTAACTGCACAACCAACAAAAATACCCAAAACCCCCCATCAACACCAAAACACCACCAACACTAGAACAACACCCAACCACCACCACAACACCACCACAACACTGCACATAACACCATGCCCAACCGCCACACCATCGTCGACCACCGCCACCACCATCATCTACCCACCAAACACCATGATCGATCTGAAAAGTCCCCAACTGCAGCAAGACCAGCACTACCACAGAACTCTCACACACAATCGGCTTCCACATACAGAAATCACACAAATCAACTTCCACATATAGAAATCACACAAATCGGCTTCGCCCAGCGCCACCCGACGACGTCGCAAGTCACCATTGAGAGCCCATACATCGATACTCACAGCGAAGAGGCGAGTGACACTATGATGATTTCACAGCAGCTGTTGAGCCCAATGCTCACGCCGTTGAGTCGTCGCTCACAGCGAAGAGGCGAGCGACGCTATGATGATTTCGCAGCAGCCTTTGAGCTCGATGCTCACACCGTTGAGTCGCCGTTGAGGTCAATGCTGTGAGGGAGAAACGAGAGAGAGAGGCGATGGGAAGAGGTGGGTAGAGAGAAAGAGAGAGATGAAAAATGATTTAGGGTTTG